GTCATCAAGACCCAGGACGTCTAACTGTATTCAGCAGCAAGCCCGAAAAAGGGGGAGAAGAACATGCGTTTTCCCTCTAACGTCACAGCCCCCAAGTCGCCGACCTGCTCTGCTCCCACCCCAGACCCTGGGTGCTCAGAAGCGAGGGCGTCTGCGTGCCGGGACGGGTTCTGAGCGTCTGCATAAGCCCCCGCTAACCCCTGCTAAAATTCTGGGGTTTGCTTGATGAAGGAAAATAGCCGGAGCTCCCGGAGGCTGCCGTTCCTCCTGCCTCGGGTGTTGGGGGCTGCTCACACTCCCCGGGGTGGGTGGGTGCCCTGGGTCGCAGGCATCCAGGCCCAGCAGGGGTCTTCGTCTTGGGTCCATCTTTCAGTCGAGGGTCTTACACGCCTGCCGCGCTGTGCGCTCCGTCTGAGCCGCAGGTGGCTGTGCTCTGAGATGACTGGTCACCACCCAACCCGGGACATCCGCCTGCGTTCCTGAGCCTGCGGGGACATGGTATGGCTCCTCTGCACACGAGCCTCCTGGCCACGAGGGGAACGGAATACGACTTGCCCTCCGCGCTGTGTCCCACGGCGGGCGTGCACACTTTACAGCAGAATTCAGCGAGGAAATGACTGTCCTCATTTTGCCACGAGGTCCCAGAGGCTCCGAGGTGGTGATCTTCCTGGTAAGCCGGCAGCAGAAGTGGGATAGCGTACTTCCTGCTCATACAAATCGGGGCAACCAGAAGGGTTTTAGAGAAAGTCAAGGAAATCTATAGCGGAGAGTTAGCCACTTCTGGCCGGACGGGTGACGGATTATGGAGGAGACTGACCTATGGGACAAGGCTGCCTAGGTCTTGGTGTGGCGAATGTGTCAGGATTCTCCGGAGAACGGGCCCCGTATGATGTGTGTATAGAGGGAGGGACGGAGGAAGACAAAGAGTGAGCGTGAGATGAATGCGGCGAGTGACAGAAAGACAGAGAACGTGGTTTAAGAAATGGGCTGGCGGGGATCCCTGGGTGGCGCCGCGGTTTGGCGCCTGCCTTTGGCCCAGGGCGCGATCCTGGAGACCCGGGATCGAGTCCCACGTCGGGCTCCCGGTGCATGGAGCCTGCCTCTCTCTCTCTCTCTCTCTCTGTGACTATCATAAATAATAAAAAAAAAATTAAAAAAAAAAAAGAAATGGGCTGGCGTGCTCGGGGGGCTGGCGAGCCTGGGCTCCGCAGGCCGGGGGGCGCTGCCGCTCAGGTCTGAAGGCGGTTTTGAGGCAAAATTCCTTCCTTCTTGGGAGACCTTTGTCTTTTTCTTCTAATGTCTCCGATGGCCGGTTGAGGCCACCGCCTCACGGAGGGTAACCGCTCCACGCAGCGTCTGCTGAGGTGCGCCCGTCCCACGGGAGAACCCGCCCCGCGGTCGAGCACTGTGCTGGCCACGGACGCGCGGGCCACGGCCCGGGGAAGGCAGGCGGCCTTGGGTGGGCCTCGAGCGCCGGACGACTTGGTTTGCTTTTACCAAGTTATCGAATTATGAAACATGCGTCAGGGCACCTGAGGTGCAGCAGGTGCTCAAATGATCATTTCCTTTGTCTGTATTTTTTTTTAATTTTTATTTATTTATGACAGTCACACACACACACACACACAGAGAGAGAGAGAGAGAGAGAGAGAGAGAGAGAGAGAGAGAGAGAGGCAGAGACACAGGCAGAGGGAGAAGCGGGCTCCATGCACCGGGAGCCCGACGTGGGACTCAATCCCGGGTCTCCAGGATCACGCCCTGGGCCAAAGGCAGGCGCCAAACCGCTGCGTCACCCAGGGATCCCTCCTTTGTCTGTAAAAAGCCTTTGAAGCCGCTGAGTAACCGAGGAGCAGGAGCAGAGCGACGCTCGCGGAAACTGTCTTCGGCCCGTAAGGACATGAAGTATTAAGAGGGGACCCGGGAGGAGGGCTGTGAGCCGGAAATCCGCTGCCACCGTGGGTCAGGCATGAGGGACGAGATGAGTCACTCGCTGCGTGTCAGGCACATACAGATGCTTTATTTATTTATTTTTGCTGCCAAATTTTTATTTAAATTCTAGCCAGTTAGCATATGGTGCAATATTGATTTCAGGAGTAGAATCCGCTGATGCATCCCTTACCTGCAACAGCCGGGGCTCAGCACGGGGCCCTCCTTCACCCCCACCTCCCACCCCCTCCCTCCGACGACCCTAGTTGGTTCTCCATAGCTGAGGCGCTGATGGTCTGCTTCCTTGTCTCTCTTCCCGCCCCCCGCTTCCCCTATGTTCATCTGTTTTGCTTCCTGATTCCGCAGATAAGTGGGATCATATGATACAAATACATGTTTTAGATACATTATCTTATTTAGCTTTCATAACCGCCATATAAAGTAGGTATGTCTTGACCATGAAGAACACAGACGTTCCCCCCTACCCCATCCCAATGAAATTGCCCAAATCTTATAACTGAGAAAGGGTGGAGATGCCATTCAAACCCGAGTCTTCCAATTCCAGCCACTACCATTAATAATGAGGGTGGTGGCCGCAGAAATAAAAAGGAGGGGGACAGGCTCCAATAACGCTGTGAAATGGAAAGAATTTAGCAATTAATCGGATGACAAAGATAACTGCAGGATTTTGAGTCTCGATAGATTGTTTTTGTGGGAGCAAACTGTGGACTTTTAGGAAAAATAAGGGTAGTCCCTAGAAGCTGGTTTTGGAAGAGTCAGAGATTTTTGGATTCATTCAAGGAACATTTTTTAATGATGTCCGTGTGCTAGGCCTTGTTCTAGACTCTGGGGTTCCATCCGTGGACAAAACAAAGATTCCGGTCCCCGCACGTTCCAGCGTGGACAGATAATAAATAAGTAAACTGCCAATGATAAGAGTTCTGGAGAAAAGTAAAGCGGGGAAGGGGGCACGCCAGGTAGTCAGAAAAGTCCCCACTGAGAAGTCACTTAGGTGAAGACCTCCAGGAGGATGCAAGTGTCATGCAGGAGGTGGGGGTGAGCGTTCCAGGCAGGAAGAGTGAGCAAGGCCTCCCCAAGGAAGAGACAAGGCCCAGGACCGTACAAATGCGAAGAAATATGGCCTTCTCCTGTGGGCGGTGGGGTGCCCTGGAGAGTGCGGTGCCCTGGAGGGTGGGGTGCCCTGGAGGGTTGGGTGCCCTGGAGAGTGCGGTGCCCTGGAGGGTGGGGTGCCCTGGAGGGTTGGGTGCCCTGGAGAGTGCGGTGCCCTGGAGGGTGGGGTGCCCTGGAGGGTCGGGTGCCCTGGAGGGTGGGGTGCCCTGGAGGGTCAGGTGCCCTGGAGAGTGTGGTGCCCTGGAGGGTCGGGTGCCCTGGAGAGTGCGGTGCCCTGGAGGGTGGGGTGCCCTGGAGGGTCGGGTGCCCTGGAGAGTGCGGTGCCCTGGAGGGTGGGGTGCCCTGGAGGGTCGGGTGCCCTGGAGGGTCGGGCGCCCTGGAGGGTGGGGCGCCCTGGAGGGTGGGGTGCCCTGGGAGGTGCCCTGCAGAGCCCCGGTAGGACGCGGAAACCACTGCTGTGGCTGCTGCGCTGGGAAGCACGGAGCACAGAAGGGGTGCGGGTGGAAGCCGGGACACGGGGACTGGGGCCCACGAGGCAGGGAGAGTTGGTGGGGTGGGGCCGGCGGAGGGAGCACACGGGAGAGCAGACTGCACAGATTTGGAGGACATCGGATTCGTTGATGGACTGCGAGGTGGGGGGTGGCCGTGTTAGGGTAGGGTTAGGGTCTTTGTCCTTGTGTGGTAATTTCTGACGGTTCTTAGAAACCTGAGGACAGACCGTAAGCAAGCGGCTGAGGCCCCGGAGGGACAGGGAGCTCCACCATGTCCCCTGGGCCCGGCGTCCCCGCAGCTGTCCTCTGGGGTCCAGTGCGCTCGCCCCTGTGCACCTGCTGCTCCTCCTGTGCTCAGCCGCTCCCCGCCGCTGCTCCTGCGCAGGTGTCCGCGCCGCCCCCTCGGCCCCCGCAGGTGTCCACGCCAAGTGTCTGTGGACACGTGTGGCTTCCAGACTCAAGGGTTTTCACATTTAGAAGCCTCAGGTGTGGGGCGCGGGGGCAGCTCAGGGTGTGACCCCCATTGCCAGGGTCGCGGCCCGCCTGGGGCTCCGGGGCCTGGGGACCCCGCTTCTCCCCTGCCTGTGCACACACCTCTCGCTCTGCCAAATAAAGACCCCAAACCCTCAAAAGCAGCAGCGGCAGCCCCAGCAGCAGCAGCCCCGGTGTTAAAGGTCGTGCCTGTGCCCCCTCGGCCTTCGCTCCCTACAGGGAGGCTGTGACCAGATTGCAGCACCTGGCTCCTTGGGGCTTGTCCAGTGTCACCGCAGAGCACAGGGACCGGCCGTCCTGGGGACCGACCATCCTGGGGACCTACCATCCCAGGGACCGGCCATCCTGGGGACCGGCCATCCCAGGGACCAGCTGCGGGGCTCCACGGTCCACACCCACCTGGAGCCGTCGGGGGTCCTCCCTCCACTCCCTCTTCCCCCTTCCCCTCCCCCCTCCTCCCGGGCCCTCACCTGCCCGCCAGGCCTCGGCCTCCACCCTTCTGCTGCCCCAGCCGGGGCTCCTCGCCCGCAGGTGGCTGGCTCCCTGCTGGCGTCTCCCTCCCTCCCGCCGCGGAGACACATCTCAGGGCCCAGCTCCCGGGGAGAACCATCAGCTGAATTCAGTTATCAAGGTAAATAGGCACATGCATCCTCTCTCTCATGTCTCCATCTAATCGCGCCTTTTCTAAAAGTTTCATAACTTTTTATAAGTTTGTGACTTTTCAGAGCTTTTGACTTTAAAAATAGACCAGCACAACCCACAGGGTATGAAAATCAGGTGGTTTTTTTTACCCGTGTTTGCACTGCTCTCGATACTCACCAGTGAATAATTTCAAGCCACAATGATCTTGGATAGTTTGACATTAGGTAAGATAAACTTCACCGTTTACCCGCTTGCCTGGCAAACTTTTTTTTTTTTTAATAGTGCAAAGGTAAACTCAAATTCAGCCCGGGCCAAATCTCAAAGTCATGCATCGGAAAGTCATGATTTTTTTCCCCCTTATGTTTATTTTTGGCTATCACACTTCGGACCATTAGGCAAATGCCCGTTGCCCTTTTACCAGCGTCAGCACTTGCTCAAGGAGACCGTAACAGGTGAGAGAGTATTTAGTAGAATAAAAAAGAATTCAGGGGTTTTGTATTTTCTAAGCTAGGCTAGGTCCACTTGCTGAGACTTTGCACGGTTGGAGCTACGTCTCCAAGGTCGCCGCACGACTCGAGCATATTTCAAGGCTGAAGTGTGGACTTTTAACTCCGTTTTAAGACGACTGCTGTCCCGAGGATGTGCATGAGGAGGAATACATCTACCTAAGGAGGAAAAGGGGTCAATTATAAGCTGTATCCTAAAATAGGTACAGCTAAGAGCTCCCCCACCCTTTGTTTTTGGTTCACTTATTAAAATAGCCCACTAGTTTGAAACAAAATACTTGGTCATCTTAGGTATTGTCAACAGCCAGGTAACAGGGTAGGGCTTGTTCTCTGTCTATAAGGTATCAGTTTTGCAACGAGCTGTCAGAGCTTGAGCAACATAGTAAATGAGATACTTTGCTGTCCCGGAGGACTTAAAATTTAAGCCTTTGTATTATTAGAACTATTTAGCGATGACGTAGAGGTTTAAAATAAGAGCTTCCCGTTGACAGCTATGAAATGACATAGGCTGGCACAGCAACGTGTTGAAATACACATTTAAGTCCCAACAAAAGGAAAGCGACTCACAAAAAAACGTTTTAGTAGTTTCTCGAAATCCAGTTCATTGAAATTGCCTTGAAATATTTCCGTACCTGAGAAAAGAACGGCGGGAAGTCAGGACGTACTTTAAACCACAGCTGACCCACGGTTTGAGTATATACATTTTCATTTCACACACACACAACATCTCTGTCGTGCCAGGGATTTTTCCTTAAACTTTGCCCTTTTCTCGAGTGAGGGTTACAGATGGGTAAGAGGAATAGGGTGTCGCGGCAGCTTCCAGGCCCTTCCTGGGGAAGAACATGGCAATCCTCTGTAGCTGGAACTCCGGGTGGGTGGCTTGCTGCCGCGGGAGTTTGCTTAGCCTGATCTGCGGAAAGGAGCAAACTGTCAGATCTGAGCGGCTAATAGATCTGAGAATTCTTCATGAAAGTGCAAACGGTACTCCTTAAAGCATAAACGGATCTTGTGGGATGCATTAGTGAGAAAAACCAAGTGCACTTGAACTTCATTTTTCCATCGGTAAAGATCCAATGGATCAAAGAGAGACGCACATTTGATCTTGGTTCTTTCCGAAAGATATCGAAAATATCTTTTCAATATTGACATGGTTCTACCTAAACAAATTCTCCTGCACAGCTGAGCCTGACTCCCAGCAGTGAGAATATTGCCAATGAAATGATAAGGCCGTTGCAAGTGCTAGAGGTAAGAGCAGGGCCCGTGCTAACTCGGACCGGGTTGAGGGTTCCCGTGTGGAGTGGAAGAGGGGGAATTAGGTAGATGAAATAATTTAAAGAAATAGAAAGACTTGTGTAGATCAGGCTTAACTATAGGTGATGGGGGGGGGGGGATCCCTGGGTGGCGCAGCGGTTTGGCGCCTGCCTTTGGCCCGGGGCGCGATCCTGGAGACCCGGGATCGAATCCCACGTCGGGCTCCCGGTGCATGGAGCCTGCTTCTCCCTCTGCCTGTGTCTCTGCCTCTCTCTCTCTCTGTGACTATCATAAATAAATGAATTAATTAATTAAAAAAAAACTATAGGTGATGGGAAAGATCCAAGGAAAGGGAGAAATATGCAAGAACAAGGCCAAAAGAAAGAAGAATGTACATGCTCCCTGGTGGAACTCTGGGAGTTAAAAACTGCGATTTGAAAAAACAAAAAACAAACAAACAAAAAACAACTGCGATTTGTAGACATATGTACATGAACGTGCAGATGTGTAAAGTGAACTGGATAACTGAGTCAAGTGCTTTGGTAACAATAGAGAAAAAAAGACAAACCCTGTAATCAAGGGGTATAAGTTGTATAAATTGGCTAAATTCGTTTAATTATTCATTTCTTTATTCTACATGACTTGTATGGTCTTGGGCTGTATTTTGAGAGGGACTCTGAACTGAAATTACATTTCACAGATTTGAAAATTAAAACCACAGGACATCCATTGACATCAAAAGTCACAGAATTGCTACGTGAACAGCAAAGAGGCTCAGTCACATTCATGGGGCAATTATGTGCTCAGGGCACCGAGCGGAGGGATCAACACAGCTGCGGGGTCTGACCCACCTTTGAACTGCAGCTCTTCAATCCCTGTTTGGGACACTTGGAGCCTCCCCGATGTCTCCTTTCCACGTGATTCCTCTTCCTGGAGTATTAACTACTCAGGGTGGCTGTAAAGATTGTGAAATATAAGTATTTGTAAAGCCCTAAGCATGGTGATCCCCACATAGACTTTGAAAAAGGATACAGCCCCTTCCTTCCGTTATACACCCTGCACATACACACCCCTCCCACATTTACTTCATTTTATTTTTATTTTTTTTCATTGACTTCATTTATTTTATTTATTTTTTTAAAGATTTTATTTATTTATTCATGAAAGAGAGAGAGAGAGAGAGAGGCAGAGATACAGGCAGAGGGAGAAGCAGGCTCCATGCAGGGAGCCCGATGCGGGACTCGATCCCAGATCCTGGGATCATGCCCTGAGCCAAAGGCAGATGCTCAACCGCTGAGCCGCCCAGGCCTCCCTCATTGACTTCATTTTAAAGAAAATATTTAGGCAGAGGTTTATATGAAATGCTTTTTTTTTTTTTGCCTATTCATTTCAAAACTATCTGCATGGTGATAGTAATAGGTCGGTATAACACGACAATGGATTGTGTTTGAGCTTTTTGTTTCGTTGTGGGATTGACTGGTGCCCACAGGATATACAGTATGTGTGAGGCAGATGTTAGCTCTAGGTATTTTTATATCTATGAAATTCTGCTAATATTTTTTTATTTTTTATGTAAACATGGTTAATTTTCTTATAAAATACATATTTGTCTTTTTTTTTCTTATTGTTGCTTCAGAAATCAAGTACCTCACCTAAAGCTCCTGGTATTGCCATGCCAATGGCAATGTTTATTGCCAACTAGAAATTCTTGCAACTGAAATCAGAAATCCAGTGATCCCCACAGACACATCTCTTGGAAGTCAAGGTCTTTAGTTAATAATATATGAATAATACGAATGGATATTTGTGGTCAAGTTTCAATGGTTTGACAGAGATTTTTCTCAATGTCACTAGTTTGATAAAAACTACTTTTAATGATAAACATAATAAACAATATTTTCCAACTCATGAAACATAGAGAAATAGTGTCATTTACATTTAAAATTTTTGAGGCTGGGGCACCTGGGTGGCTCCGCGGTTGAGCGTCTGCCTTTGGCCCAGGGCGTGATCCTGGGATCCAGGATCGAGTCCCCCATTGGGCTCCCTGCATGGAGCCTGCTTCTTCCTCTGCCTGTGTCTCTGCCTCAATCTCTGTCTCTCATGGATAAACAAATAAAATCTTTAAAAATAAAATAAAATAAAAAATTTGAGACTAGAGTGCACATTCATAAGCTACTGACCATTGTCCAAAATGATGATCTGGCTAATCGGATGTGTCTTTAAAAGTGGCCACACCAATATTTTTTAAATAAATTAATTAATTAGTTAACTTATTTTGCCACGTCAACATTTTAGTGCCAAACGGAAGTTTAGTAAAAAAATTTTCTACTAAAACGTATTTTATTACCACACTAGACTCTTTACACATATAAAAATACTTCTTCATAATTATCATGGAAGAAATTGGGAGACATCACTACTAGTTCCATTTTTTTTTTCTAACAAAATAAGAGCCACCAGTTTCTCTGCATCAACTAGTTGCCAGGCACACGCTAAGCACCACACGTACCTTCTTCTTAATCTTGGCAGTAGTCCCGCGGTGATGGAGACTGCTGGTTGCTCTCTCAACACAGTGCAGCCACTATGCAGGTTAGAGTGGCCAAGTGACACGGTTGGCCAATCCGATCTAAGAGGAAATTATTAGGAGTGGTGCCAGAAAATCTCTTTTTAGAGCGCGTCCAGCTCAGCTGACATGCTTTCTTTTCTTCTTCCCATGGCTTCTGCCAATGCAAACCTACAATACTTGAGGTGAAATAGCTAATTACCAGCTGACAAGCACACATTAAGACTGGCTGAACAAGAAAACAGAGAAAGCTCCATGTTCTTAATGACATCATAAAACTCGGAGCGGACACATGAGGCCTTCCTGGACTGCCTACCCCTGGTAGAGATGATAAAAATAACTCTTGTTTTTCAGGTTTCTTATTCATAGATGAATGCAACCCTCAGCTGATTCACCTGCACAGAAAATGTTGACCTTTCGGTGTCTGAGAGGAGGCGACCCAGCTGGTGGAAAATAGGGTAATGATTGGATGCATAGGTATCAGAATCAGTAATGATGGGGTTTAAAACTGCTTTGGGAACTTTGGATTAGAAGTGCTGTGTATCATGGGGAAGGCACAGAGTAGTGGGTTATTTAGACGTGCCCCTTAGTTTAATCTCAGTTTAATAAATTTTTTACCTGGGGCAAGTGTCTTTACGTATGTTTAAATCTTTTTTTTTTTAATTTATGATAGTCACAGAGAAGAGAGAGAGAGAGAGAGAGAGAGAGAGAGGCAGAGACACAGGCAGAGGGAGAAGCAGGCTCCATGCACCGGGAGCCCGACGTGGGATTCGATCCCGGGTCTCCAGGATCGCGCCCTGGGCCAAAGGCAGGCGCCAAACCACTGCGCCACCCAGGGATCCCTTTACGTATGTTTAATACAAGAGAATTGCACTAGGTTATTTTTAAGATTCCTTACGGACAGAACTATCAAAATGCTGTGCGTGTTGGCCTATAATAAAGCAACAGCAGCAGTCTGGTTCCCAACTCTTATGAAGAGTAGCGAGCCAGACACGTTCTCGGTGCAAAATTGAATACATTGGAGCCATATTATCCATCCTAATCAGACAGGTAGTAGTATACTCTGTACTGCGGTTTCACATAGAAGTGCTGAATGGGGTCACTAAAAGAACACGGACTCCTGTCTTGAATTTTGCTTTTCTAGACAGATTGTGGGTTTTTTTTTTTTTTTTTTTTTTTGGAAAGAAAGAACAAAAGTGCTATACGAGTACTATAGAGAGTAGAGTAGAAGCGTTCTCATCCACACTGGTAGCGTTGGTGAGTTGAAAAAGTCAATTAAAGCACAGAAAAGAGAAAACCATGCTACAAACCTTAAACTTTTAATTTAAATCTAAGTTACATTCCCTTTGTCGATCTTCTGAAGTGCAAAATACTTGCAGGTTTTTACTTTTTCTAGGCTGTTTCCTTGCTTACATCTAATTTGAAAGAAATTTTGTCCGTGACTTGTTTACATTCCATTGGTTTACGTAATAATTAATTAACATGATTACAATGATACAAGTTCAACTGGTATAGAGGGGCTTGAGGAAGCAACTACCCAAGCATGGAACTTGCAAAGAGGGGAAGTTCACGATTATATTTAAAGGGAATTCTGGGAGGCCTGGGTGGCTCAGTGGTTGAGCGTCTGCCTTTGGCTCAGGGCATGATCCCAGGATCTGGAATCGAGTCCCACATCGGGCTCCCTGCATGGAGCCTGCTCTCTGCCTCTTTCTCTGTGTCTCTCATGAATAAATAAATAAAATGTTTAAAAATAAAATAAGATAAAGGGAATTCTACTACCTTTGAGCACCTGCCATGCTGTGGGCCTGTTTTAAAGAGGGAACAAGGAGCATCATTTAATCTGCAAATTAAGTAGATGTCATGAGAGCTCCTGTGTGCCCATCATTAATGATAGATATTGCATAATAAGATGTTAAGATATTTTATTCACTGTTTTAGAACATGAGTCTTTGGAGACTACTGAACTGAATATTAAAATGACATTCTCACTAATATCCTAGAAGCTCTCACCCCCTTATCCTTTCCATCTTGTGTGTTTGTTTGTTTTTTTTTAAGATTTTATTTACTTAGAGAGGGAGCACAGGTGAGGGGACAGATGGAGAGCGAGAAGCACACTCCCCTCTGAGCAGGGAACCCACTGTGGGGCTCGATCCCAGGACCCCAGGATCATGACCTGAGGTGAGTGAGGGCAGATGCTTTACCGACTGAGCCACCCAGGTGCCCCTACATCTTGTTCCTATGAGCAAATCCCTCCCTCATAAGAGATTTTGTTGATTGTCTCCTTGTGGTTTTCCCGTGTATCCGAGTCTCCACCCTGGTTTCCTGCTGGTATCCTGGTTCCTCCGGTCTTCACGGGGATTGGAGCCCTGTCCCTAAGCATCAATCCCCATGAATGGGTCAACGATCACTCCTGCCAGACTTGCCCGGAATTATGCCTCCGAATTCAGATCCAAGTTCTGGTTCTCTTCTGCTTTGTGACTTTGAACTACGTTCATGAATATTCCCTGGTCTCCCAATTCCTTCCCTGAAAACTTAAGAACACTTAGCCAGCAGGTTTGTTTGAAGATTAAATGGTCATGGGAAGCTCTAGCAGAGTGTCTGACGCAAGCAGGCAATGAAATGTTTGTTTTCTTCCCATTTCCTCGAGGCCAAGAACATTATTTGGTCTTCGCCTATTCGCATCACCTTTCTGACTCGGAGCTCTGACCACTTACAGGAATGCTTGCTGAATCTTTACGAGGTCACGCACCTGCCTGCCAGGATCTTGGCCCGTTAAGAGCCCAGGTGACCTACTTACTTGTCCATACTGTTGCCTATTCGCACTAACGGGATTTCCCTGGAGCACTCAGCTTAGCCCTGGGTCTCCCTGGTCACTTTTGGTGGCCATCCGTTTCCTATAACTCCTTCAGCATCCTTCCCCTCCACCTCTGGGCTTTTCTATAATCAATTCTGTCCTTTGACACATACACATCAAACATTTAGTACTATGCACTGGCGTGTTAGGGTTCTCCAGAGAAACAGAACCAGCAGAAAAAGGAGAGAGAGATGGAGAGACAGAGAGTAAAGAATTGGCTCACATAATTATGGAGGCTGAGAAGTCCTCAGATCTGCAGCCAGCAAACTGGAGGCTCAGGAGAGCTGACGGTGTAGTTCTAGTCCATGAGACGGCAAGCTCAAGACCCAAGAAGAGCCAGTGTTCCAGTGATGAGTCTGACCAAAGGCAGCAAAGGACCGAAGTCCCAGCTGGGTGCAGTCAGGCAGGAGGAGGAGTTCCCTTTTACTGACGGGTTAAGTCTCTGTTCTAGTCACGTCTTCCATTGGATGAGGCCCACCCGCTTTAGGGAGGGCCATCTGCTTTCCTTGGTCTCCCCATCCGAATGTTTTTTTTTTTTAATAATAAATTTATTTTTTATTGGTGTTCAATTTGCCAACATACAGAATAACACCCAGTGCTCATCCCGTCAAGTCCCATTCGAATGTTAGTCTCGTCCAAAAACACGCTCGCGGACATACCCAGAACAACCTTTGACCCTATATCTGGGCACCCCATGACCTAGTCAGGTTGACACGTAAAATTAACATTGCATTGGGCCCTGTGCTAGGCATTGTGCATATTCTTGTCCTTTTTCCGGTCTCAGAGACGTCAGTGCCCTTTCTTGCACATCCCAGTATCCCCAGCTATGCCCTTGACCCTGTCTTTCCTGATCCTGAGACCCACCTTCCCTCTCTCGCACCTTCAGTTTTCCTCTGCTCTTTCTTTACCTGAAAACTTGTGTGAGTTTTTCCTTTACCTTAAAATAAAGGTTCTCTTTGATCCTTGGAACTACCACCCCACCCTCTTTATCAGTGCAAAAAGAGAAGTTGATATTTTCTGTCTTCAACTGACTAGAATCCCTGGTGATCTAATTTACCTTATTTCTTCTCTCTCTCTATTCTTTTAACAAGAACCTTATAAAAGTCAACAATGGCTTTCTCAGATCTAATGGTGTTTGTTCAGTCTCCACTTTATCTGATGTTTCAGTAACTTTTGAAAAAGTGTATTCTCCTTTCTAAAATTCTCTTTTCTCTGTACTTTGGCCAAATTGAGTTCCTGATTGTCCGCCTTCTTTCTTGTGTTTGTTTCTCTTTCTTGTCCTGTCCTCTTAGGTAAATGTTCTCATAGCATTTTGAACTTCTTTTTTAGACATTTATCAAATTCGACTCCCTGTTTTAATTATTTCTATAAGACAGGTTTAAAAGGGAAACGCCTCGTCGTACCACCCATTCTTCTTCCCGGCTTTATTTCTCTCCAGAGCATTTATCACTATCTGATATAATTTATAGTTTACATATTTATTGTCTCCCTCTCTCCTTCCCCACCATGAGGGCAGGGATTTGGGACTATTTGCTCACTAGTGTATCTCCAACATCCAGAACAGTAGGTAGTATTTGAATAATAGTTGTTGAATTATTATAAGGATTCAGGTATAGGGCTGCTCAATGGATCATTATTTGCAAAAGTAAAACACCTGGAAATAAACAAAATATCTACTAATAAGAGGAAAATAAGTCAAGATACATCCATAGCATGCAATATTGTACATCTATTAAAAGCCATCCTTAAAAATTATTTAATGGAAAAATACTCATATTGTATTAAATAGAAAAAAAGCAGGATAGAAAAAGACCTCATCTTTTTTTTTAAATATAAAGGAGAAGATACTGGATAGTGAGATTAAAGTGATTTTTATTTTTCTGTTATTTTCATATTTTGTACATTTTTGACACATCCTTTTACATAAAATTTGAAGATAAAAAACAGTAAAGCTTTGAAGAAAAAAATGCTTCCTCATTCAGTTGCTGTAGTCTATTCTTCCCTAGTCTGAATTTTTCACTTCAATTAGAGATACAGTTTGCACTTATCTTTTGGCACTGGTTATATTTTGCTTACTATTATGTATCTTTATGTCCTCTACTAGGCCCTGCACTTTCTAAAGCCAGAAAGCATGTCTTATTTATAATTTTCAATGCGTACAACACCTGTTTACATTCAATAACCGAAATAAAAATTACTTAAAATGGTTTAATAGCCGGGAATAATACGTAGTGTTAGTTGCTTAGGGAAACCGTCAAATTATGTAATTTTTAAATACTGCTCTGATGTCCTTCATGACTGCCTTCAAAAC